TGACAGCAGAGTGAGCAGCCCACAGTTGCTGTGGGGAAGTTTGTCCTCTGCCCTGGCCACAGCCCCATTCCACAGCCATTGGCTGTGGAGGGACCTCGCAGGCATGAGGGAGTCACTGACAAGAGCACCGAGGCTGGTCTCTGGGCAGGAACAAAGCAGAAGGGCCTCCCAACTGGGCCCTCGAGAAAGGATCCATCCTGTCCCTTCAGCACCAGGACCCGTTAGTACTGGAGAGGGGGCACCTCGTGGGTGTGTCCAGCACAGGGAACAGCACAGAGACCCATTAGTACTGGAGAGGGGGCACCTCGTGGGCGTGCACAGAACAGGGAACGGCACAGAGACCCGTTAGTACGGGAGAAGGGGGCACCTTGTGGGCGTGCACAGTGCAGGGAACGGCATGGAGACCCGTTAGTACGGGAGAAGGGGGCACCTCGTGGGCGTGCACAGTGCAGGGAACGGCACAGAGACCCGTTAGTACTGGAGAGAGGGCACCTCGTGGGCGTGCACAGTGCAGGGAACAGCACGGAGACCCGTTAGTACTGGAGAGGGGGCACCTCGTGGGTGTGTCCAGCACAGGGAACAGCACAGAGACCCATTAGTACTGGAGAGGGGGCACCTCGTGGGCGTGCACAGCACAGGGAACGGCACGGAGACCCGTTAGTACGGGAGAAGGGGGCACCTCGTGGGCGTGCACAGTGCAGGGAACAGCACAGAGACCTGTTAGTACGGGAGAGGGGACACCTCGTGGGTGTGCCCAGCACAGGGAACGGCACGGAGACCCGTTAGTACGGGAGAGGGGGCACCTCGTGGGCGTGCACAGTGCAGGGAACAGCATGGAGACCCGTTAGTACTGGAGAGGGGGCACCTTGTGGGCGCGCACAGCGCAGGGAACGGCACGGAGACTTCTTAGTACTGGAGAGGGGGCACCTCGTAGGCGTGCACAGCGCAGGGAACGGCACGGAGACCCATTAGTACAGGAGAGGGGGCACCTCGTGGACGTGCACAGTGCAGGGAACAGCACAGAGACCCGTTAGTACGGGAGTGAGGGCACCTCAGGGGCGTGCACAGTGCAGACAGAATCCCAGAGAGGAGGGGCTGAGGCCTGGTGCTGCCCCAGTTTAGGGTCTGGTCTGGATGCTTCTGGAAGTGGGAGGAGTCTGAGCTGCCAGGCACAGGGATCATGCAGTCAGGGTAGGAGCAGATGTGGGAGGGTCAGGGACAGAGGAATTGGGCTAGACTGACTACAGCCTCCCAGAATGGCTAAGATTTTAAGACAAAAGCTCTCCTTGTTTGAAAAACCGAGTTTGTGGTAGGTGACCGTAGCAGTACCTCCATTTTCTGAGCGTGGAATGGCATATGCTGTCCGTGGTGGGCAACAGAAGTGAGGTGGTCAGGCGTCAACTGGCTGCAGGCTGGACAGCATCCCGGGACCTGGCAGCTGTGCAGGGCCTGGAGGTATGCAGGCCTCGGCCAGGCAGGGTCCACTCCCCTGTCCTGCGGCCTCTGTCCAGGGAGGTCAGTGGAGGCCTGTCCTCGGAGGGCTGCTGAAGACATGGGGGCCCAGGGTTTTCCCGTGTTCACTCGAGGAAAGCATCAGTGTTTGGATGAACTCTTCCCCTGTCCCCACCGGATCAGTCTTGTCGAGGCAATTGTGGGTTCCTTATATTCTCCTGCTTCCTTACTGACTCCCTTCCCCATGGGCCTTCCACTGATTCAGGAAGCGAATGCAGGAGGGCTGTCGGGGTGAACGGGCTAGGAGCGCCAGTCCAGCAAACAGTGTTACCCCGCCGAGGCCGCCAGGGGGTCCAGATAAAATGCTGGATGCTCAAGGGAAGGGGAGAGGCCTGCCCACGAGGGATCGGGGAAGGTAATCAGCCTCTGTGAACCTGCTGTGTCCCTGCCCTGGCCAGTGCTTCGGTTCTGCCGTGAACCCTCCAGGCAGCCCTGAGAAGCTGGGGTACAGTTCATCTTGCAGACGAGGAACAGACCCATACCCACGCTACTAACCTACCGCTCCTTTGTAGGCTAAGGTCTCGCGGGGAACTCCGGGGCCTCAGGAGCCCTAGCTGCCGTGACCCCCATGGGAATAGTGGTGGGCATGAGAAATAGCCTCGGTTTGAATATCTCTGCCACTTACTGGGAGCAGAACCATACAAGTTCTGTCCTTTCCGAGCTCCTTGCTGTTGTGGAGTGGGGAACAGTGGCCCACAGTCACCGTCAGGAGAAGTGGAGCGACATGGCAGTGTCTCGCATCATGCCTGCCGATAGGTATTAGTTTACCTTCCTCCCCCAAGTTCTCCTCAAATTATAGTTGGCATTTAATTTTCCATGTACTGAAAGTTGTCCTTGTAATGGAGAGATTTATTTAAAATTTTTAGGATGGGATCACTTTGTCATCATGCTTATAACTCCAATTAGGGCTGATCAGGAACAAGGTATGGTTACCAAGGGGGCTGTTTGGGAACATGGGATAGTTAGGAACGTGTTTTTAAAAATCAATTTATTTTTGACAAATCGTTGGACATTGCCATTTACATCATTTTTAAAAGAGAATTTTACCTTCTCAGATCTGGAGCGTGGTCATTTTGCTGTGACCCGATTCTCATGGTGGTCACATGCCTGCATAGCTGAAGGGTGTCATTGACTGGGGCTGCCACAGCGTTCACACTCACCCACTGATTCCTTTTTCTTTACAGAAGAACCGGACGGTGTTCTTGAATCTGATGATGATGAAGATGAAGATGATGAAGTGAGTAGGAAGCTCTTGACACGGCATAGAAAACATGTACCAAACTATTCTGAGTCTCTTCCTTGCCTTGAAAAGTTAGTCCGGAAATGGAGGTTCTTTTAACTGCTGCTGCGCTGTTCCCCACTTCTGTGGGCTGGCTAAAGCTCAGTTGGGTGGGCATTGGGCTGGTCTTGCCTGGGGTCTTGTGTGGATTCCGCCAGTGTCCAGGCTGCCTCGCCCCTCCGCGGCTCCTCTCAGGTGGTCTCTGTCACCCAGTAGTCCAGCCTGGACCTCCTCACAGGCGGGCTGTGAGAGAGGAGCCAAAGCGTCCATCCTCTCTGGGCTCAGACGCCTCAGAACGTCATTTCCGCTGCTTTCTGCTCAAAGCGTGTCACAGGAGCAGCCCAGGTGGGGGATGGAGATAGGGCTTGGGGAGCACTTGGTGGCCAGGTTTGAAGCCCACCCACCTTCAGTGAGTTCACGCAGGCAGCAGAGATGCAGCACTGTGCGAGGCTGAGATTTGATGGAAAGGTGAGAACTAACTTCACAGCACGAGCAGAACGGTTTGCTCTCAAGAGGCCCCGAGCCTCCACTTGATCCCCACGGGTTGTTGGCTCACAGTGAGTCTCCGGGTGAGGCGTCCTGGTCTGGTTCAGAGCTGGCAGAACCCGCCGCTTCACTGCGTCGCTTGTGTTCTTTGGATCTGGACTGCCTCGGCCATGAGGGAGTCCGCTTGCCTGGTGTTTTGGAACATGAAGGTGCAGAAGTTCACGTGTGCGTCTCTGAAACGGCGTAAAGAGTGGGGACCAGGACCTGCGGGTGGATTTTCAGGTGACTTGTTTCTGCGCTGTTTTTGCTTCAGAGACCGAGGAGGTGCAGACACACCGTCCTCCCGGTGTCTGCTAACCTGCCGTCTGCTGGCCTTCTGCTTTGGGGAAGCTGCTGCTCCTGCAGGGACAACGGGAAAATGTACTCTGCTCTTTGGGGGGGAGCATTCTCTCCACAAGTGGGTACTGGAGGATGGCGTTGTGGCCTTAACAGCTTGGAAAGTGTAAAAGCCAGGCTTCTGTCCATCAGCTGGGGACACAGTGATGGAGGATTTCCCTTACTCAGAGATTTAGGGGATGTGTGATGACTGCTCTCAGCAGGCGGCCTCCTTGCCTGCCATTCTCTTCATGGCCTGCAGGTGGCACCAGAGGGTGCTCTTGTGTGCTCCCCTGCCCCTGGGATAAGTGGGGACCTAGACCTTGGTGCTCCTCCAGGCCCCCTGCTTTCCTTTACAGAGGTGGGCCTGGGCAGGAAGAGACTAGCCGAGGAAAACAGGGAGTTGATGTAGTGAAGTGTGAACTGCGACAAGGGTCAGCGGACGTTTTCTGTAAACAAGTTGGTAAATACGTGGGCTCTGCAGGCCTCAGGGTCTCTGATTCAGCCCCCTCCGAATCTGCCACTGTCACGCAGAACAGATGTGCTCAGTACATAAGTGATGAGCAGGGCCGTGTTCCGGTGAGCACTAAAATTTGAATTCTAAACAGCTCTCATGCCATTTGGTTTCTTTCCACCTAATACTGAAACGCATAAAAATCACTCTAAGGTCATGGGCCACAAAAACTGGCATCTTGGCTGTGAGCCTTCACCAACCCCTAGCGTAGAGCCCAGCTCACAGACTGTCTTCCTTTTAAGAAAATAAGTAAAGCGTCTTTCTTTGACAAGTAAGAGAGAGGACAGGAGATGCCATCCTCAGTCCACCCCCAGCCTTAGCCAGCCCTGGACCGTGAGCAGGCACATACCCGGCATACCTAGGGAAGTCTCCAGGCTTGAACCGGGAGCCTTCCTGTGTGGGATTGCCTCACAGAGCAGTGTGTTTTATCTCGACTCCACTGCCTCGCCCTGGGCTGTCTTCTCTTGACACCATCTTTGTCGCTGGCCATTCAGTCCCAGCCTGAATTATAGTTTTAATTAATATTTTACTCCTTTGGTTCCAATAACTTGTTATTGTGTCCTAAAGTTATTCTCATGGTCTGTTTTTTTCCCCTCTTTCTGGACTAGCCTTTTGAGTGTTTTGGTTTGCTTTGCTCTTTGTTTTGCTTTTAATCTTTTAATTATAAAGAAAAATCACTTAACTCAGCTGTTCTAGTTAATGATGGGAATTCAACTTTAGGAAATTTCTCTTTGAAAGCAATTATAGTATACTGTAGAGGTCATTATAGAGGTCTTCGCACTTTCTGGACTTTTTGCTACTCTCCGTGGTGTTTTATTTTAAGAAGTGAATGTTTGAAAATGTTGTGATAACTAGAATTTTCAGAAGATCCCTAAAGGAGGTGTAATTTGGAAATTACAAGGAGAGGATTTGTCATGTGGGGCCTAAATGTGGCTCTGTGAATTCAGGTCAGCAGATTGTGTCCCTTCCTAGTGATCCTCACAGTATACTGTGCAGTGTTAGGGCCTCCTGGGGCCCATTGACCTGGCAGTTATGTCTGGATTTTACTCAGCTTTCCCCAAGGGCAGGCACTACCCTTATGAGTATCTTTTATTTATTTATATATTCACTCATTCCTTCATTTCATGAGGGGGAGAAAGAGATAGAGAGAGGCACCCCCAACAAGGTCTGGATGCCACACTCCACTCCCAGGGGTAGCCAGCCCTGGATTATGGGCACGTGCATGCTCGGTGCACTCAGGGAGGTCCCTGGGCACAAACCCAGAACCTTTCCTTGTGGGTCAGCCTCACCCAGTGCCATGTTTCACTTCCGCACTACCATTTGGCCTCTACAACTGTCTTTTTAAATTGGAGTGGAAAAGGGAAGTGACAGATGCTTAAGCTAAAGGAGATTTCTGAGATTCCTTTGAGCAGAGCACTGTTGCTGGGATATGATTATCCTTTCTCACAGTGACGACTCTGGAAGAAACGGCATGATTCTCTTCAGGATGTTAGAGTTGTATCTCATCTGGCTTAGCCATGTAAAATACATTTTTAATTTAGTATTTAAGTCCAAAATGCAGATAATGAATCTGCTATTTTCAGCTAGCTGCTTTGTGACTCTAAAACAGAATGACCCCATTTGGGTGGGGCTGGAGGCCAGAATGCATGCTGCTCCTGGGCCTGGCAGAGAGCTGAACTCTGCCCCTCATGACTTCCCCCATGACTAGCCCTGTCCCATGGAAACTCTTAGTAGGACCACTAGATGCAAATCAAGTTTTTCTCTCTAATTTTCAAAAATGTAATTACTTGATCTAATGTATTAAAACTCAGTTATGTTTGAATATACATACGTTGCATACGAAAAAAGAATTTTAGAGGCTGCACTGAAAAAAGATAATCTGATTTAAAGACTGCCTAGGACATAATGTCAAATGAAAAAGGAATTGTAATGTGAACAGTATTTCAGAAAAAGCAAACAGAGGGACCAGCAGTTAGCATAATGGCTGTGTCGCTGGACTCCCACGTAGTCGACCATGGTTCAAGTCCCGGACCCGGTGGCTTAAAGTCATGCCGGGCGCGTGTGCATGCGTGCCAAAGATCCCGAGAGGAGAATGGAGGAGAAGGGATTGTGGCGTGACCATCCCCCCTGGGGGGTGATTTCTTGCTTTCTATCTCTCTGTCTCTCTCTGTCTTTCTGGCGAGCCCACACATGCCCTATAGCGAAAACCTCTCCAAAAATAAAAAAATAAATAAAAATAAAACAAGGTAGAAAAATTTGTTTAAAAAAAAAAAAAAAGAAAAAGCCAACAGAAACAGACATGCTGTGCGTCGTGTGTGTGCTTCCGTAGCCAGGTAGCAGGGAGGTGTGGAAAGTCATGCCCTCCTGACGACACAGGGAAGTGGGAGGCGGGGCAGGGAGGAGGATTGTTGGGTGAGAGGTGGAGAGGCCTTGAGCAGCAGCCCTCGCTGCAGACTCATCGGGTGACAGGAGAAGTGAGCACGCACTGGACTGTGGCGGGGAGGTCTTTGTGTACTGAGTGATGGGGCCACAGCTACTGCAGTGATTGAGGAGCAGGCAGGAAATGAGAAAATGGCGCTGACAAGTCCCTTCTGCTCTTCCACAAGTTTGACGCTGGGCAAGGGAAAACTGTGGACTTGGCCGAAGGGGCCGTTTTTGTTTTGGTGTGTGTGAAGATGGGAGAGACAGAGCATGTTGCAGTGCTGCCAGGAGGCCCAGCTGAGAGGGGGAGGGGAGAGGACGGCGCCCAAGGCCAGTGTCTTCATCACTGTCTCAGTCGCCCCTTGCACTCTCTTGGCCTGGGAGGCACCAGACTTGATTAAACCTCCAGAGAGACAAAACCATCCTTAGAGAAGCTGGGGCAACACACGCAAGAATGGACAATGGCAACTGCCATTTAAGGGTTCAGATGCATTTCTTGTCTAGTGCTTTGAAGAAGTGTGTTATGTGATACGGTTTATATTAAACACGTGACAGGCAGTCACAGGCTCGGGTTTCCTTATTCATATTAAGGCAAGTTCCTTGTGTCCAGCTCACGGGTGGCTTTGTTAGGTGGAGATGAAAGCCTTCTTGTGCTTTTTAGAAAATTGATTTAAGACAAATATTCCCCATGTCCAAAGCAGATTTAGTGCCAGATGAGCTCCACCACGGACATTTACTCGTTGCCATTAGCAGTCGTGACAGTCACATGCTCAGCAGCTTTCTCCTGTAGGATCCTCCTCGCATCTGAGAGTTGTTCATTTGCTTATTCAGCAAACGTTTGGAGACCTTGAGATAGGTTTCCAGGAAAGATTAGAGAACGGATGCAAAAGAAATCTACAGTACGAGTATCTTTGTGGGGTTTTTTTTTTTTTTTTTTACTTTTTATTTTTAATACCAGACTATTTGTGCATGAGAGAGGGAGAGAGAGGGAGAGGGAGGGGGAGAGAGGGAGAGAAAGCACCCCCAGTGGGTTTGGTCATGCTGCAGTCCTTTTTTCCTCCATTTCTTCATCCCGTCAAAATCCTGGGCTTGTTTGCCCACTCCTGGCATGTTTTTCAAGCTGCCAGGGCCAGGATTCAAACCACTATCAGCCATGTGGGAT